TTTATTTAAATTGTCCACTGTGTTGCGAGTGAAAAACATAATTTTAATGCTAGTGTAAAATAGCTCGAGAATGCTACATGAAATCAACATCGATGATTCTTATTTGACCAGCAATGATATTTCGATTGCAGCAGCTAATTTACAAAAAGCCAATTATAAACAAGTACTTGATTTATGCATACAACAAAGCTTTGATAGTTACCAGATGATCTTGGCATCTTCTATTTGACCTTGCATATATGAAAACTATTATTGAAAACATAAAAACCATCAGAATTGCTACCAATTCGAAATGTAGTGTCAACAGTTTACAGAATAGATTTCGTACATGAGAAGAAAAATAATTGATAATAATTCTTACTATATTATTCAAACGAAGGCAGTATCTATTATTATACTCTCACACCAACACATCCGAGTTTTATCTAAATTGAACAAGATATTCAATGTATCTCAACTCAATTCGAAAAAGGCCATGTTTAATTTTTATTTAACACTAAGACAAATTATGAAGATGTGTTATATTGTGTTTTCGATTAAAATCCATTATTATGCAGAGCTGATAATCAAACAAAATATTATTCATCTACAGTTCTATTTTGTAATATATTATTAAATGTTAACGCGAGTCGTACTGGCAGGAAGAAAAAATTGAAAGTTTTCAAATTATTCTTCCTTTCTATAGTATATCATTTAGTGATTTTATTATTGATAAATAATTCTCACTGTGACTACAACGAATAGATCTCTATCTTGTTTATTGCTATAGGTGAACTTTTAACCAATGAGAAATTGTTTTAATAAATTACAATATAATTAATTTTATTTGAATAAAAATTTGCACGAAATTTATATTTAATATCAATAAAGTCATGTAAAAACATTAAAATGTTTAAAAAAAATATCATTTCTTTGAATCCTTCTCAATTTCAACAATCCATAAAATGCTATAATGTCGGACCAATGAAATTTTTGGAAAAATTCTGTGCTACGACCCTATTCAAACTTACGAAATCGGTGCTTTTCGAGAAAAAACATATAACAGATTCATCATATTGAAAAAAAATGAGGTAGAAAATTAAGATAAAAATTCATACGATAAATTTGATTCATTTTTATTTTTACTTACATTAGTTCGCTCCGAGTACAAAAGCGGCTCGCTTCATCAATCTTACGTTGTGGTAATAAGAAAATCTGGCTTGATCCAAATGAAGCCAATGAAATTGCAAATGCCAACACTCGTAAGTTCTTTTTTTCACAAAATTCTTCCTTTATGACCCTTCAACAATCATCGATCTTTGATGTAAAAACTTTTGTTTTATTACCCATATAACATTGATCGATACACGGGAAGGGAAAATTATAAATTTTTCAGTTGTATTTGTCTTATTCGTTTGTTGATTTTCATTTATTTAATCGACAATAAACAAATAAATTGAACAAGAATTATTATTGGCTAATACTAATAATTTTATTTTTTTTCTCATTATTTAGGCCAAAGTGTACGTAAATTAATTAAAGATGGTTTAATTATCAAAAAACCAGTGGCAGTACATTCACGTTTTCGTACACGTAAAAATAATGAAGCTCGTCGTAAAGGTCGACATATGGGTCATGGTAAACGAAAAGGTACTGCCAATGCACGTATGCCAACTAAGGTTAGTTAAACATTCGTTTGTTTTCACTTCAATCTATTACTTATTTTAAATTCAGATCCTTTGGATTCGTCGTATGCGTGTTTTACGTCGTTTATTGAAAAAATATCGTGCAGCTAAAAAAATTGATCGTCATTTGTAAGTTATTTATTGCATAGAATAAATAAATTAATGAAATTATTTTGTTTTTTATTTTAGATATCATGAACTTTATTTGAAATGCAAGGGTAATGTTTTTAAAAATAAACGTGTATTAATGGAATTTATTCATAAGAAGAAAGCTGAAGTACAACGTACGAAAATGCTTTCTGATCAAGCTGTTGCTCGTCGTGAACGTACAAAAGAAAAACGTACTCGACGTGAACAACGTATTCTTCAAAAACGTACTGAACTTTTGGGTAAACAACAAGAAGATGACGATACAAATGTAGCTCTTCAACAAGTTATTCAACAACAAGCTCAAACACCTGTTGTAGCACCAGCATCACAATCACAACAACAACAACAACAAGCACCATCAAAAACAGGTGCCAAACAAGAGAAGAAACAACAACAACAGCAACAGCAAACCCAAGTACAACCTCAAAAAACACAACCAAAAAAGAAATAAAATATTTTATTTAAAAAAAAAAGACGAGTATTGGACATAAACAACATTCATTGTGTCTTTTATTTTGTTTTTTTTCATCGTTAACGATGATTTTTTTTCTTTGCTTTGCCGTTTTTCTCCATATCATCAATAAATAAAAACAAGCAGCCACATACATAAAATAAGAAATAAAAACATATAATTTTATCTTTATAAAATGTTGATGAACTTTCAAATGTTCGTTTTACAAGTAATACTCAATATAATATTACAAAATAGTGCAAGTTAAGGAATTGAACAATTCTGTAGGTTTTTCAGTTGTAATTTATTTTTGAGTGTGATCTATTTATTATAATGTAATAAAAAGAAAATTCGATTAAAAATATATACATAAAATTAATAAAGAGTTGAATTGTGATCATGTCCTTATTATTAATAATCATCATACAAACTCATAAGCACCAGACATGTCTTCATGATATGATACTATCAGTCAAAAAGTGAATACGTGCTACAACGATTACATATCACAGATATACTTTTGGCTCTATAAATTTTATAGTTGTCATTTGAATAAGTTTAAGTAAAAAAAAAAACAAGTAAAACAAAAATCATGTGTTACTATATAGAGGAAAGACTTCATTAGGAAGTCTCTCCTGCGTTCCAGCAAAAGAGCTTGCGTTATTATCGATTATTATTTTTACTATAAACATTTTATTAAATGTTGTTTTATCGAAAATGCGTTTGTTTTTATTTTCTTATTGTGTAATGAGTCACCTAGTCGTCATGCCAATCGATATTTAATTCCATTGCACCGAAGATCAAGTTCTTCTAATCTCTTTACTAATAACAAAGGTAAATAAGAGATAATTCAAGAGAAAATTTGTCTCATTTTATTAATTTGTATAGTATCAATTAGCTATTGTGTACCTTTCGAACTAATCTCATTCGATTGAAGATGGCGAATCAGAAGTGCCTATGTAATATAACAAGAATGAATATGAGACTGATCAATAGAAGACTTCATTCACTATAATAATTATTCTTGCATCAATAAGATATTGTATACCTTCAGAACCAATATTACTGTTATCAAGGAAAAGCTTGGCTAAATATCTATGTTATTGAATGCCAAGAATGGGTGGGATACGAATAAATAGAGAATTAATCTTATTGTAATTTATGAGCTAAATATTGTGCTTTCTGGATAGCGATTCTGGTTTTTTTTGTAAGACTTAGCATCTTGAGTGTCTGTGAAGAATGAATGATACAGTTAAATACCAAAAAAAAAATTTGGTAGAAAAGTTATCTTACTCTATTCGTTTGTAATACATTTGCTAGATATTGTGCTTCTTCAGAATTAATTTTTATTCCTTGTTTATTGAAACTACTACGTTCATGATTCAGTGTCTGTGTTAAATGATTAAACAGGAACATGACATAGATGAATAGAACGTAGACTTTACACTTTTATTATTTAATACATTTATTAAACATTTTACATCATCAGAACTGATTTTACTTCTTCCAAGATTCACCATGAGAAGTATCTATGTGTCTTAATTATAGATAGTCATTCGAACTTTTATTTGCTACATTATCCATTCGAAAAAGTTCAATATGATGATAAATGTCTAAGTGAAAATGTTAAATAAATATCATAGGTATTGCTTAAGTTTAATTTTCATATCGTAATTTCAATAATAATTATGCAGAAGGTTAGCACATGTTTGCTGATAAATAGTCAATTAAAATATAATAAAGATTAGAATATATTCTTTCAAACACCATCGAATTCGATACAAAAAGTCAACATGAATGATTTTACTGTACTAATCTATATGAAATGAAAATTTTTCTAGAGTTAAGTTTTTGAGTGTGATTTCTCTTAAGAATTGTTAATTGTCTTCATTTCCATTAAGGAAAATCATGAGCTACTATGAGATCTTTTCTTATGCAGTAATATAGCGAATTTTAGTAATTGATGATAATACATTATACGAATTAATTTTAAACAAAAAGAAATGAGTAGTGTCTGATGAAATAGAAGATAATTTGAATAATAATAGGAATTGAAAATTTAAATGAAGATGAAATTTACTTGCTATCTAAAATAGTTATCAACGATTGTATTCCATTATAAGCAAATATTGTGAAGTGAAAAAAAATCTGTTGATTCATTGAAAGTGTTAACAATACAATAGACAAGTTCAACTGTTAATTTAATGATGAATAAAGACTTTTTTTGTTAGACATTGATTTTATTTTTTATGATACAAAGCCTCTATAAACAACGTGCAATAAAATGTTCTTATAATTGTGTAATAACATGTTTGTCCAACGAATTACGCAAGTCTAACGATGGTAATGATGAAATTTAGTTAAAATGAAACGTCACACATTTTTTTACTTGAATTTTTCTGATCTATCAGCAATCAATTCATTAGTTGTATATAATCGATAGATCAAGATTCCGTAAATTATTACTAAAGTCCTAGATCGAAAAATTTCACTCTTCATTCACATACAACTATAACCATAAGATATGTTTGCATTTTCATGTGATCATGACATGTGTTGCTGATTTCATTTTTGATGCTATCAAATTCTCTCAATTCCAATTACAACAAGTAAGATAAGAATCATCATTAAGAAACGCAAATATTGTCTTATCTCGTCAGTCGTGCATACATTTCATACAGAGAACTCTCGAACTATATAAAGAAAAGAAATATTCTTATTCACGTCATTCAACGATGAAGTCAATTAATATTGTATCATTATTTCTTGTTATTTGTGTTTTCTGTACTGAAGGTTTACTTTTACCTAAAAAAGATGGTACATCTGCACAGGCTAAAGCACCTAAGAAAGGTAATTTATAATTCTACGTAATTCATTCATTCATCGTATTTCATTTATTTATTTAGAAAAATGTATGATTGTTAAAGGTAAAGGAAAAAATCTTGTCGGTGATATTATTCATATACACAAAGATTTTGCTCCAACATTAAAAACTATCGATAATATTGCTAAACAATGCAATATTAAATTAGCTATTAAAGGTTCCTATGAATCAGTAGTAGATCCATCAAAAACATTAAAATTTACTGCAGCTAATGCTGGTAGACAACTTAAATTTATTATTATGGATAAAACTGGAAAAAAATTAGTTTGTAATCAAATTTGTCTTGCTAGTAAGATTAATTATGACTTGAAAAAGAATATATTATACTTATATGTTCTATATTTGTAGAAGAAGGTGAACAAGTTCCGGAAGTCAAATGTCTTGTTATTGGTTTACGTAAACAAAATTTAATTTATGCACCTGGTGGTGCTGCAGGTATTGTTAATGATGGATCTGATGCAAAAGTTGGTTTTACCGATACTGCTCGAAGTATTCAAGTAGCATGTAAAGGTGTCAAACTTTAATATAAATGACTTATTAAAAATAACAAATAATTCTTCTTTAAACTTTTTCTGTATTAGATTAAAACAAATAAAAGATAAATTTTATAATTGAAATAAATATTCAATACGAAAAAGTTCTTCTTTTTAATTCATTAAACTGAATTTCATATGTTTATAATGTATCAAGATAAATGTTGAGATTTTATTTGTTTTATTAGATTACTTTAATAAGAGCAAAGCATTTAAACGAAAACTATCGTTATTTTTGCTTGTGTTGAATCTGCGATCGTACTATAAAAGTATTTATTTATCGACTATCCCCATATAGACACAAATTGAATAACCTCGAAGTGATTTATGATTCATCCTTCATTATCACTAATCATCATTTTGAAAATGAATTCTTAGATAATTTTCATATTTACTCTTAAAAGTCGAATGTTCCTTTCAAGTACAATTGCAACAATTGCTATTGTAGACTTAATAAAACTTTATATACAAACATCAGTAGATTCCCAGACTAAGATGATCTTATAAATCATAAAGTAAAAATCAAATCCCTCTTATGTGAATATCAAATGGTACAGCAGAGTTTTTAAAAAATCGTTTCTTACTCTAAAGACTTTGTTTACTCATAATTTTTTTTGTTTGTTTTTATGTGATATCACTTAGTACAACGTCAAGCTACCTGATGAAATGGTTCGGTAATTTTTTAAACGATCTATTGGCTCATTGCAAAATTATTAAGAAAATGTCTCTTAAAATAAACATTCAGTCATAACGACTTGAAATATTCTACCAATGCATAAATAATGAAAAAGCTATTTGAAGTATTTTGTGGGCTATTTTAAGTTCTTTTAAAGACTATCGCGCGATAAGGTCAGAAGACGACGGCACGAATCCCGGCAATTGTCAAAACCTTCCGCTTGTGATTGAGTTACACTCCAATTCAGAACACTTCATGACAGTCCTGATTCTATTCCCAAAGATCATTCAGTAGTCAGTTCGTCAGTGAGCTAAGGCCATTAGCAAAATCATGATATGATCCTTTTGTCCTCCATCAGATGGATCTTACGACACTTGAGTGGACTCACAGAGTACTGTTGTAATGAAATGGACAATGCAGACGTGTTAAAAAATTACAAATATTTTATTCGTTTGGTTCTTAGTGTTATATGGAATCAATTTTCTCAAATAAATTAAGAAAAGTGAGACATTCATGCTGTTAAGACTGGATATCCCTTCCAAGGAACATTCTATGTCTGTAGAAGAAGAAAAATTTATCTTTTTTTAACTATAATATGATCATACTTCAATGTCCTGAAGCTCTATTTTAGTGATCTATTTTTTTTCTCATCCTCCGAAAATCACTCTCGGCTCTTAAGGGTTAAGTGATTAATAATATAGATAATGACTTTTGTCTGTATATTATTTTTATTGATTTAACTGAAAAAAACATTTTTGCTTTGTTCTGTCAAAGCATGAAAAATAACTCCATATAAGCAAATTTTTGTGTGATTTTCCTTAAGACATTAATACATGTCATATATGTGTAAGTAAAGAGAGACAGAATATCCTGACCTTCTAACGTTTTTATTAAGATGGCTGAACAAATTCATTTATATATTATTATTGTACATATAAGTAAAGCAACAGCACAAGCCTTATACAAACAATTCTTGTTCTTCTCATTTTCAATGAACCACATCTATAATGTCTCGAAAGACAAAAAAGAAAATTAATAATCCAACATAATGCAAACATATATGAACAAAACATTATCGACAGTTACAATATTTTGAATTCACATTAATGTAGATTGACACAGTCTCTATTAAAGGAAAAACCGAAGTAAATATTTTTTTTCTCAACAAGTAGTGTGAGAAAAGTTCATTCAATGAAAGTATTAACAATTGTGTAGTCAAAACAAACATATCGGATATTGTCATGATTAAAATGTATCTACTACTATCGGCGCCAGAATTCAAGGCAGTCGGTTGCTTTTCGAATAACTCTTGATAGGAACAAGATAGAGACCTGCGGTTTTCAACATTTGATAGCCAAGACCCAAGAGCATATTTTTATAAGCAAAACCTTTTCTGAGAAAAAGTCCGAAGTTTGGTTTTCCAGAGGATCTTTGAAAAACCACGCTGGCGTTTTGAAAATTGTCATAGAAGTCTATTGATTTTTTTATATATTCGGAATCAGCATGAAAAACTGCGTTGACTCATATATTTTTCTAGTCTTTTAACAAAGTTTTTTTTTCGCCGAAAAATTCGTCCTTCGTCATCTTTTCACTGAATTCATTTATTGATGTGGTCCTGAGGATGACTAGAGGTAAATTTTCGACGAAAACAAAATTCGTTAACAGACTAGAAAAATACATGAGTCGACACAGTTTTTCATGCTGATTCCGAATATGTAAAAATATCAATAGACTTCTATGACAATTTTCAAAACACCAGCGTGGTTTTTCAAAGATCCTCTGAAAAACCAAACTTCGGACTTTTTTTCAGAAAAGTTTTTGCTTATAAAAATATGCTCTTGGGTCTTGGCTATCAAACGGTGACAACCGCAGGTCTCTATCTTGTTCCTATCAAGAGTTATTCAAAAAGCAACCGACTGCCTTGAATTCTGGCGCCGATAGTAGTTTCAAACAATATAATGGATATTCAATTGACTATCTTAAAAAACTACCTGAATTCCATTTTTGATCCATCTAATGTATGTCGAAAATGTTATTAAAAAACTAAACAAAAACATTTTTCTTTAAATAAAGAATGTTCACAAACTAATTCTATATATAATAAAAACAGAATTTTAATAATATATGATAGATTTCATTTGATCACTATTCATAACTTATAAAGATTTATCCACCGATTCGTTCTTAATTGTCAATCATCTTCTTCGAACGAACAACCTTGTCGAGAATTACAGTTAACGAATGAAAGCACAACTTTCTACGCATTCTCATATATATATATATATCAATTTATTAAAATACTACGGAATGAATATGAGCATCAATATCATGTTGCTGAAGAAAGTTAAATTCATTTACGATGACGCAAGAGGATTTATGATGAAACTGATATTAAACTTGCCTTATTCTATGATGAACACAAAAAACAACAAACTGAACGATGTTCAATTACCAATAAAATTCGATCGAACTGTGAAGACACGATTATTAAAGAAAAATAATAGTAGATTTTAATGCTGTCTAATTCTTAATTCTGCTGTTTAATTACCAACAAATAAATCGTTATGATGCCAAAACATTGTTTTTTTAACTAGACTTCTTCGTTGATAATAATTTAGGGACGAGTTAACAATTAATTAAGAACGACCCATCTATGCAGGGAACAAACTAGGAGGATCTCAATATAAACATCATTTGTTGTTGATACACATGAGTTGCATATACATATACTTACAATTCATTAATTATACAATGCTCAATTTATAAAACTATTCAAATGTGTCAATCAAGTATGTGTTATATGTTCATCAAAAATAAATAAAATTATATGAAATAGAAAAATAATGAATAACAAATATTATGTAAAATAGTATTCAAACAGATCTCATTGTTTTGTTATTTATTCGTACACGTATCAATCTATGTACTTATATTCATGGATGTTATATCTCTGTCTAATATCAAAACAAAGAATAACAAAATAAAGGTTACAAGAAAAAAAGACATTTGAATGGTAGTAATAAATATTTCATCGACAACTTCATTATCATCATCATCAATACTAGACCTTTTGATCATGTTGAAGTTATGCTAATGATAGTAATAAAGATGAAACAATCAAATGGAATGTTTTTTTTTTGTTTTTATTTATTCCATTAAAAAAACTTTATATCTTGTTCTTCGTTTCTTTTTCTAATACTTCGTTTTCTTTTGCCATCATCACTACCACCAAAATATATACATATTATTATTCGAGCAAAACAAAGATACATGTGTAGATGAAAAGAAAGGTATTTATTTTATTCTTTATTCTTTTAAAAAGAGAAAAGACAAGATCCACATATAGCCAATAGCTATTTCAATTTCATTTATTCTACAGTAAAAAATAAATATCGAAGATATTTTATAGCGCAATATGGGTTTTCTTCCTTCTAAGGTAACTATTTTTCGTTAAAATATTTCAAAAAAATATGAAGAGAAAAAATGAAGAAGAAAATTCAAATAGCAAATTGTCGACATGACAGAATAATTTATAGTGAATATTACTCACATGAAGGAAAAATGATAGAAGAAGATTATTAGAGTGTGTTTGTTCACCATTTCTTAGTTTGCTTTTCGGATAAAAGGATTCACGATACTATATGTTTATAATAATGAATTTGAATTATGAATGTAGATAGATAATGAACTAGATTTTCTATGATCTATATGATTCATCATTCGTTTTTTGAACTCGATATTTATTTCAAAGTCGAGTTTTAGGGTCAACCACGATGAGGAGATAAAAAAGAGAAGATAAAAACTTCCTAACTTTAAAAGTATCACTTTTATCGCTAATCAATAAATTCAACAACTGAACGTAATGTCCAACTTAAAAAAGTCACCATTTTTAATATTCCGTCTACATATATGGTCCTACTACTAAGAATATGATACTGTAGGCAACAAATTGTCATAAAACTCTATATATCGTCACAGAAACTATAAATGTAGACAGTTTTCAAAAAACCGTTGACATGTCTAAGGTTGTCATGGCATGGGCTCTATAGTGAAAAAATCATGATTTTTGGTTTCTTGGTGATGTTCTCTGCATTTTTTGTCGAAACATCATCATTTTTGATTACCTAACTCTACATTTATAGTGTTCACTGTTAAATACACAGTAGTATGATTATTTGTTGCTTAAGTTCGTCTAATTTTATCCTTAGAGGGTAAATATAGAATTTTAAAGTCATAAATGTAAAAGAGAGATAAAAAATGGTGAGGTTTTTTTCTAGCTGGACATTCCTCATAAAAAAAGGGTTGTAATGAAACAAAACTTGATTTTCTTGTTGTTAACAAATCTTTTTTACTTAAATTATTTGAAAATCATTTAACTTCGAATACAAATGATGAAGTACTTTTATCAACAATTTTAACTAAAAAAAAATGGATTATCTATTCTAACAGTTGCACGAACATTTGAACAATTGCATCATAAATATAATTATGAGCAGTCAGAACAATCTTAACAACAAGAAACACTATCAAAAACAACAGCAGATGAACAAAATGATAATCTTTCAGCAGAATTATATACTAATCCACATATAACAAAACAAGAAAAATAACATGAAAAAATTCTAAAAAGTATTGATTCAACTACAATTCATCAAATCATATCGATTGTTACAAGTAAAAAAATCAGTTGCTTATCCATCAACTCATTCTGATTTATATATGGCCGAACACCAAATTGTAAACAATTTAGTAGTATACCAAACGATGCTTTTAATTCTTTACAAATCTGCATTACTAATCCATCATCAACACAACAGACATGTCGCATTCTATCTTTTATTTCAAGTATCAATTTTTCTGATTATAATGAACAATGTACATCTCAATTACCATTACCTGTTGGACAGTATCAGAATTCACTTAAAGTATTATTAAGTGTGACTTTATCAGTGAGAAGTAATCGTACTATTATTAATACTACTTCACCATCATTACAACACAATGAAAATATTCTAAATGCTATATCTATTACAACTGTTCAACCATCGCTTACGCGATATATTTGAGAATAAGGTTTGTCTTTTGTTTATTTTCGTTTTAAATACTATATCTATATTATTATGTATAGAATGACAATTTTTTTTTCAGTTTTTTATCTTTTTGATAAAGAGACAAAGTACAATTCTAATGATATCTATTTACTAAAACTAAATACAGTCTAACGCTTACTAATTGCATGAATTTTACTATCACTTACTAACTCAGCAGTATCCAAGTGATGTTCACTTGAGCAGAGAAAATCTGTTGTCATACTAATTTGATGTTTCAAAAAACGCTTTTTTGTTTTCATCTGATGATTAGATCTACTAATCGAATTCATTTCTAAGAAATTTATACAAATAGAACTAATAAGAAAAATAAATATCAATGATTTTTTGTTGAAGTTTATGTTGGAAAATAATCGAAAGGTATCAATAGAGAATATTATTAGCAAAACAGTTATTCACTATTTTACTTAGAGAAAATGACAATCTTGATTTTATACAATTTATACTTTCAGATAATTCTTCAATATCTCAATCCAATCTCCATTTAAGTAAGTTTTGTTTATGATAATTTTATTATCATTTTATTAGAATAAATAATCTTTAAATTAAAAGAAATTAACATTCGTCTATGAATTGCATACAAGAAATGAATGTCTCGAATGAAAAAAAAGTATTTCTGACTACACTCTACTGATGTTAATAATGATTACTTATTTCTAGTATCAAAAAGATCTCGTAAAGAATAACCAACTGATTCATTTTTTACTAAAATTTCACGTAATATCATTAATGAATATGCAAATGATAGAACAAGATAAACCATTTTTCGGTTCGATAAAGATATCTATATTAGATACTTTAAAATTGAAGAATATGTCCATTGATATAGAAAATAAACCAAACCTTAGTCTAGAACATAACGAGACAAAACAATCCGTCAGTTCGACAAGTTCTGATTTTGATAAAAAACAAAGACAGTAATTCTATTCATTAATACATCATACTGAACATCTAGAACATTCTAATGCTTATACGCAAACAGAAAATTAATCTATCTCTAGTATATTTTAAATATCTGACGAAACTTTAATAACTGATACACATAAATCAGATGCATAGTAACAACATATCGAAAATGAGCCAACTCATCTGTCATCAGCAGAAATCAGACTTGACAACCCATATATACATAGATCATCTATATATGATTTATATAATAACAAATAAGCGCTGTCTATTTTAATAATTTAATTTTTTTTTGCTTATTTTCACTTCGGAATTTAAAGGTTTAACTTCTTTTTTCTTGTTTTTATGTTTAGCTACGATACCAATATCAGTATTACTCGATCATGGTTATGAATTACATAATATAAAATTAATACAACCAAGTCAAAAGATTTCAATTAATTTTAAATTAACTAAATAAACAGATCCATTATAATATATTATAACAGTTATAGTTGAATAATCAAAAGCTGATATAGCTAGTCTTAAAGTTGAAGATAATGATATACGTTTAACTGATTTGTATGAAGTTTCACAAGATATTCGTCGGTTATTAAATAGTACAGGTTTTGATTAATATGTCTATTACTCGAAAGAAATCAGCAACATCATCATTACCGACCATTGATAATCAACAAACATCTGTATTAACAACAAATAATATATCTGATAATACAAATGTTATATTATCAAATAATTTATCAAATCTAACTGAATGTAACAATCAAAACCAGTCAATACATGAAGAAAATGTCAATTTTCAATTCGATGATATTAATAAAGATAAAATTCGTCGTATTGTATTAAAAGAAGCAATAGGATTAGATTTTAATTCATTTTTACCTGGCAATGATGAAACTCAAATACATTTTATAAGTAATGTTCAACCTTTATCAATAGCTGATGAAGCTGGTTTACGTGATGGTGATCGTATTTTAACTGTTAATGGTTTAGATGTAACAAATACAAAACATGAAGATATTCGATATATGATATTAAATAAAACACCAGTACAATTAACAGTTATTCATGATCCAAAATATTTAAAATTAATTGACATCATTAAATATAATCAAAATAAAATGACTTCATCATCAAATAATGTTCTATTTATTGATGATCAAGGTCCAGTTTATATAAAACATTGTATTATAAAAAAAGAATCTACTAATAATACATTAGGTTTTTCGTTACAATATAAAAATAATTTTCATACAATTGATTCTATTGAAATTAATTCTTCAGCTTATAATAGTGGTTTACGTAATGATGATGTGATTTTATTTGTTAATAAAAAGAATGTTGAACAAATGAAACATGATAATATTAAATTACTTATTCAAACATTAGTAAGTTCAAATGAAATTATTGATTTAATACTAATTAATAAAAATGATATAAAAAGATATAAAAATTATCAAGAAAAAAATCGTATTGATTGGAAAACTATTCTATCAAATAATAATGAAGATGATAAAAATAAAAAACAAAGTATGTTTACATAACAATGCATATTTAATCTTTCTTTGAATCTCATTCTATGTTTGTTCGTATCTTTTACACTATGCTAGAGTCAATATCGCCATATTTAACTTATAGGAACTGATATATTTATTAATTTTATTAAACATTCATTCTCCATATGACTTGTTTTTTTTTTAAGCTGAACAACAATCTTCTTGTGTTAATCATCATCTATCAAATATTCTATGTGAAACTCCAACAAGTTCTCTGCTCACTGGTAGTCGCATTTGTCTTTTAGAAACATCGGAAAATGGTACAGCTGGTTTTGCAATTAATAATACTGGTCCACCACCATTTATCATTTGTAAAATCGCAAAAAATTCACCAGCAGAAAAAGCTGGTTTACAAGTTAATGATATACTTTTATTCATTAATGGAAAATCAGTTATTGAAACAAGTTATAAAGATACTGCTCAAATAATTACAGAAGCACTTCAACAGAAAACCGTTCAACTTGTTGTTAATCAACAATCATTATTAAAAGAAAATGAAACAAAAAAGAAAAGTCAATCATCAGCCAGTGATGGTAGTGGACATAACAATGTTCGAAATAATGGTGTAGAAGAACGAACACATACTGCTGTAAATATTGTAGAAGAGTATCAAAGTATGTAAAGAGAAAAAACAAATAAAAATCTTCTCATTTACAATAAAACTAGCTTTATTGTGTGTCATATTTTAATTACTTAGCTTTTTGTGATTTACACTTTGATCATCAGTTAGTGATACAAACAAGCGTCTTTGTATAGAAATAGTTTTTCTTTATATTTATTCTTTTTCTTATCTTTCTATTCTATTGTATCAATATTGGTCTGTTTTAAATCATTCTTCTTTCTTTGTTTCGTATTGTGAACTATTCTTCAAGCTAATACTTTAGTGAATGAATGAAGGATTAGTCAACTTATGTTATCTTTTACATATTGTCTAAGCTGAAATGAAAATCATTTCTTCTTTCATACGTTATTTAAAATCGAGGTAAATTTCTTTTCGATTAAAAAACAAAAAACGAATATGGAACATGTCCGAGGCGAGTTTTATTTAATTTATTATTTTTATCGTTTGCTTCTATATTAAATAAGTTATATATTTCTAGGAAAACGATGTAAAGAATTATCCTATACATTACGACTTTGTCATTTAAATGCAACAAATACTGACGATACACCAGCAACAACATTTGGTTTTGAAATAACTGAAGATCCTCAATATGAATATCCAATAATATCACATGTTGAACCAAAATTACCAGGTGAACGTGCAGGTTTACAAACACGAGATATATTATTAAAAATAAATGATCGAAAAACAAAAGGTTTAAATTTTGATAAAGTTAAAAAAGCAATTGAAAAAGCTAAATATGACGGTCGATTAGAAATTCTTGTTGTTGACAAAGAAGTATTTAATTATTGTAAATTAACACATAAAAAATTTAAAGAACCTGATATTAAAGTGAAACATATTTTTCCAAAAAGTAAACCATCTACAAGTTTTCTAAAATTACCTACAATAGCTGCAACATCTTCACTTATGTCACAAGATAGTACAGAACGTTTACATCATGGGATTTCTTCATTTAATGTTCATCGTCTTGCTACACAAAAAGAAATATCATTCGAGAATGAAGAAGATGATGCAATCTTACCTAATATTCGTTCAACAATTAATTCTGATATTCCATTATCAAATAATTCATCTGATACTATCATACGTACTTCTTTTATTCACGAAACACCATTTACATCTATTGGTCCTGCATTAAATTCATTACAACAATCGAATATTTCTTTAACAGATCAAAATGTATCTAGTAGAAAACAACGAAAACAAAGTCAAACATCATCTGATCAATCAATAAAAGATTTTATATCACACACAATCAATACTATTTTTCAACGTATTGGATCTCAAAAATCAACTAAACGTTTGTGATCAGCTTCTTTTTTTTATTTGCATGTAGCTATGTCGACAATTCTCTAAAAAATACTTTTTTTCCCATTCTTTGCACTATTGTGGTTGTTGAACAAAATTTAGTGTCGTTCCTTTACTTTTCTCTTATATTGTATACAGTATAAATGCATGCTAGTGCTAGTACTTTATATTACTAAGCCTACTGTAGATAAAGATATATTTTCACATACGTTTAGAAATAGCACAAATACAGTAGATTATCTCACTATTTAAGATTAGATTACTTTGCTTGCTCGATTTCACTTATTTATAATAAAACTTAATTTGTTACTATCAATATTTTTTTTAAAGTTTATGTCTCAACAATGAGACAATTGAACAAAAAAAAACATTAGTAATAAACACAATTCAAACTAAGATATATAGAATATAAATTAACAGTTTATTTGTGTTATTTATTTTTTTCTTTACAGCTGATTATGATATTCCTCTTGAACGAACAAATAATTCAAAAATACAAACACCATTACTATCAACTAGTCGTCATAATGGAAATCTTTCTGAACAAGTTCGACATATTTCACAATTACCCAATACAGTTTGTTCGAATCAATCTAGTCCATTATATGATTATATTAGAGATCCTCGTCGATGTTTGCTCAAAATAGAACGTGACAAAGGTCTTGGTTTTATTCTTAGTGCCACTAATGATTATGATCATACAATTACTGCTGTTGAAAAAGTTCGTATACATAAAAAAGAAAATGAATTATAATGCTATATTTCTCTTGTCTTTTATTTTTTAATAAATAGAATTCTATAGCTGATATTGCTGGTTTACAAGTCAATGATGAAATAGTCGAAATTAATGGTATCTATGTACGAAATGTTAAATATGAACAGGTTCGTTCTGAATTTTTTTTACTATAATTAACAAACGAAATATTTTCAAGTTTATATAACGGGTGGAGCGAAAATGTTAAGACAAACTATTTATTTATTATTTTTGACTTCCTTGAAAGTTTTTTCGAGGAGTCAAAAGACTATAGATTAGGGCTAGGATATTGTGCACTTTCCGAATATGAGCTTAGAAATTTTATTTCAATTTTTGTTTGAGAGTACTGCGATAATGTTTGAAAAACCTGAAAAATAAGCTAGGACGAAAAGTAAGTGTAAGCCGAAGTTTTCGATGCGAATGATTGTTCATTTTAGTTTACTTGAAAGTATCTCAGACAAACCAAAAACTATGGATGATGATTAGAATTTTGTGCTGGGGCTTAGAAATATTGTGTATTTTTATTCGAGACTAGTGAAGGAATTTTTTAAAGGTCTATAACATTAGATTGAATAGTGAACCAATAAACTTTTTTCTAACACCTATAAGTTATTTTTCGATAATGCCAAAAAATATTGACGTCGATTGTTTTGTTGAGCAGACATTTCTTTATGAAATTTTATATTGAACTAAGCTATAGCTTTTACTTAAGTGAAACTATAGGCACTTTGCAAAAAGTTTCTTTTTATACGAAACATCTTTTGGTCAAAAATTCGATTTTTCAAAAGTGATGATTTAAGAGAAACGAAAACTGAAGTGACCTGTAAAAGAAAAAACTCCGATAGCACATTTTATAGGGTAGCTTCTGACCTACAAACTGGTATATTAATCAAGGTGTCAACATTTACTTTCGAGTTGTAATAATAAAAGTACAAAAGTATACGGAAAAATTTTCTGTTCAAACTATTGATCATAATCCATAGCTTTTGGCTCTTCGAAAATACTTTCAAAGTAGTCAAAAATAAACAAACATGTAGTTGGAAAACTATGGATCCATCCATTATAATTGATTTGATAACGAGACTAATCTTTGAATTCAGGTCATTGATATACTTATGTCTGCAATGCAAACCCATAATACAATTGAAATATGTGTTATTAATAGTTGTTTGAATGATATTTATCTATCATCAATTGATACAAATAAAGGAGCAAATATTAATAGTTTATTAAATAGTAATAATACAAATAATAATAATAATAATTTAATGATTGCAACGCGTATGACAGCTGTTTCGGGTAATGATCTTTCGGATAAAAATCATACAATTGGTCTTAATCAACAAACAATGAACACAACATATCTTAATTTACATGGTCAATCAAAAAATTCGAATAAGATTACCGACCGTAGTCTCTATGGAAGTTTACCAACACTTACTACAGGTTTTAATAAGCAATAGATTTTTTTATGTGATACAATAATATATATAAACTTTTTATTCAGGAATCACTGCTTCGCCTATAGATCATCGTGCAACAACGAAAACTACTTCAATTTCATCGGAAAGTAAGTTCTGTTTGCTTTATTTCTAAATTGAATTTTCTATTTCTTTATTGATAATTAGAAAATTTAAATACCAACATATTAGATATTTATAAAAAAGATGCACCTAGTGCAAGACTTTGTCGTATTCGAAAAATTCCTTCATCACCTTTCTATGGTTTCTTTCTATGTGGTAATAGAAGAAAACTTGGGTAAGATTCAATTTTATTTTATTTTTTAATAAGATTACATTTCTTTGTTTAGTCGCATGTTTATTTCTAATGTAAAAAAGAATTCATCAGCAGCTCTTTGTGGATTACGTAATGGTGATCATATTATTGAAATTAATGGTACAAATATTCAAACATTAACTTATGAAACAATATTAAATAAAATAAAATTACATATGGAACGACATGATCTTGAATTACTTGTACTTGATAAAAAATCTTTACATTGGTATAATGAACGAAATTATCCAATAACATTACGAACATTACCAACTATTGTTTATATTGAACCTATTATTAATAATATGAATTCTGAAACAGAATCTTCATCAGTACTTGATAGAAATATGAAAAATGTTGATTTTATTGGTAGGTGTCTGTTTGTTTTGTTTTAATTGATGATTATTTTTTTTTGTTAAATAGATCGACAAGTATCGACAACTAATCTTTAATGACAACGTGCAAAATTATTAACATTTATATGGAGTCTTCTGTACTGGCCTTTTCTTTTCTCTTCAATATACAATGTGTATGGATAAATGTTCTCATTTTTATACAGAAATAATGAAAATATAATAGGATTATAGTAAGACATATTCTTTTTCTTTTATATCGAAAATCTGTAATTTACATGACTTATTTGCGTTTAGCTTTCGAAATTTTTTTTCTATCTTTTCTTTTCATTGTACAATTATATGTTTATTTTTTCTTAGTTCTTGTTCTATTGTTTTTTGATTTCTTTTATTGTCAATATAGTTCAGTAAAACATGAGTAGGTTGACAAGTAAATTATAAAGTATTACTCCTCGCCATGTATACATAAATGAATACGATATGGTGTTTTATAAAATTCATATGATACTGCAATCAATTTAAGAATTATTAAAATCGAATATCGCTTGTAATTCTATTGATTATCTAAGAGCAATTAGAGCTGATTGTGTCTTATATATGTATAGTTTTGAAAAATCTATTAAGGTTGCCCTCTCAAAAACTGATCTTGACCAAGGTATATTCAAATTGCGTGAAATTTTCGGGATATGTTGGAGCTGTCTGTAGTGAAGAGGCTACGATAAAATTTTTAGCCCTATATCATGATGTTTGCAAGAGATATTGAACTAACAAGGGTTAAAAATAGTTCATTTGGTAAACCAAAATTCTCTGTATGTCTTCATTCTAAAGACTTCATTTCTTACTTTTTAAGACGAAAACAAAGATGAAACGTTCAATGTCTCGAAAAACTCTCAGAAAATGGCACTCTAATTATAAAAGTACACTATTATATAATAGTAACAAAGTTTAATTCAAAAAACGGGCTCTATCATGCTCTAATATCTTGGCATGGCTTTTCAAATAACCAAAAAAGTCACCGACTAGAATGAAGCACTTAAAAGATTTTACACATTGTCTGAAAAAACCATATTTTTCAAGCAGAAAATGATGGAAAATTTTGAAAAAAAATGAGATATCAAATGAAAAATCATGTCATTTATGAAAGATCAAATGTTGAACTATTTTTGCATGCATTTATCTGAATTTTCACGTTTTTCATGAAAATTGCCGAGGCTTAACCCGTGCTTTTCTCAAAATTTAAAATCAAGATGTTATTTCGAATACATGAAATAAAAGTCAAAGAAAATGCTAGGATATCTAAGAACTCATCTTGCAGAGCCCTAAAAATGAATAAAAGTCACAAAAAGAAGATATGAATAAAATATGCTCTGATCCCATTCTGATTGCCATTTTACTTAGGACTTGTACTAGTCGATAGAGCTTGAGGTTTTGAGTCTACTGGATCCCACTCTGAGCCAAAAGTTCAAAGAAATCAATGTTCGAAAAAAGATATTAGATGAAATTATGGTAAATGCCTGATGGTTCTAGTAAGTTCAAAATATGTAGCAGACCTACAATTGACTTCATTTTCTAAATATTTATTTTATTGAGATTTTTGTTCAAAAGAAGATTAAGGAGATTCAAAATCTCAAGCTTTATCGACTAGTATATGTCCCGAGTGAATCAGATCGCATTTTATCAATATCCACGAAAAGAAGGTCAGTTTATCGTTCAAGTCACTTGTGTCTAACTCATATATTCTGTATTTTAATGGTGAGATGGAAACATTATTATCAACATATCAGATACTAATTCATTTGCTATTTTATAGAACAAATATAAATAATATTAAATATCATAAAAGCAAAAATATTGTCACGCCAATTCAAGTTCTGTTGCATTGTCTATCTGTAAACTATACATTTTAATTTGATCGAGAAAATCGGTAGTAGTTAAAATGATATATGTGTATTTCATTTTAATTTGTTCTTGAGTAGTATCAATTGTCATATCATTAGATGTCTGTTCGTGATTTTCTTCGTTGTCAGTGGTATTTTGATCGACAAATATTTCTATTTCTGATAATGAATCAATACTATAAGTATTATTCGAGTCTGTCATTTTTCTAAATGACAATAGTGATTTAATTAAATGTTTCATTTGTCGAAATAATTTAAATCACATATTAGTCAGTATTATAAAATAGCGTTGATGTTGCATTATCAACTACCATATCTTCACGACTGATCATGTATTTCTAAATAGCAGGTATCAGAATAGAGCAAATGAACAAGATGTGCTCTACTAGCGTAGTAATACCTGATCTAAGATACAAATTCACTATATTACAGTTCAATTAGATTAAAGAAATTTAAATACATAATAATATGTAATAGAATATAAGAATTTAAGATGATGTCCGAATAAATTTACTGATAGCAGTTAGATTCACGTCCATCATAAAGCTTTTTTCGTTTTTCACTCCTATTCAACTGTATGATTGATAATAAGAAATGTGGTACTCAAACACTAGTAACATTTTTAAAAACTTCGACTACATGAGTGTATTAAAGAAGTCGTATTTATCTAATTAGATACATCACCAATCGGGAAATCACGCCAAATGATTTCGAACTTTCAGCTTTATCTTTTGGCTCCATTTAGGCTTTAGTCAGGCTAAGAAAACCCTAAAGCATTCTTAACTATGGCTCTTCATTAACGAGATATTTTCTAAATAAGACCATGGAAAAAATAGGTTTTTTCCCATTTTTGAAATGTATAGGTTTTGCATCATCCAAATAGATGTAACTAAGTGCTTGCATAGCCAGCTCAAAAAGTAGCTTATTTGCTGTAACAATTTCGAATTCATGGCTTTGTTAATACGGAAAATATTAAATTATAATTCTGAGACTTGGCAACTTGTGATATCACAGATGAACAATGATAAATAGAGAAGGGGAGCAACGAACGAACGCCGATTTTTGTTGACCATATGTGCTTCATGTCCAAAAGATGGTGAGTGTTTCCTCTTTCTTCTCTGTAATATCATAATTCACCAAGTATTATACAATTATAATTTCATATACTCATTGTCAGCAGAATCATGAATTTAATGGATCAGCAGCAAATAAGCTATTATTAAAGCAGGCTAAATCAACATTCACTTAGATCTATTTTGATTACACAAAAGATGTACATTTCAAAAATCAAATAAAAAGACATTTTTTTATGATATTATTTAGGTAGTATCTCGGTATTGAAGAGGTATAAGCAACAATGCATCTAGGATTTTCTTACTCTCATTGAGACTTATATGGAGCCAAAAGATGAAGCTCAAAACTTGCAATCACTTGCAATAAGACACTCTTGATTTAAATCGTTTGAAAGAAAGAATGATGGTTTTTACGAAAAAAATAGGCTCTTCAAGTTATCAAAATTATTTCTAGTAACAAACTTGTACTAATGTGGTTAAAAAAGGATATTCTTCATCAGCTTACAAAGCTCTATTCAATGATATACAAATAAACAAAGAACTACGAGGGTGTGGAAAATTTGAATTGAGCGCATCTTAATTAACTAATGTCATCTCTGTCAGAGAACAAAGCATTATTCTCAACCAGTATTCTGATACGATCTATTGCATTGCTAAGACTTGTGATAATCAGGTTTCATTTCATAGCATAATTCAATGTTTCAAGTAAGTTATAGGGTTCTAATAAAAGATAGAATGATATTCTATCCAAGGAAAATAGAATTGCGTGAGAACCAAATTTTTATTATCAATATTTGTTGAGTTGAAACAAAAAACGATCACACCATCTATGTAACGGTGAGGATCGCCGAATATAAGCCTTCTTGCCACCTATTCATACCCATTGTTGATTCGGATTGCTTTTAGCTGAATCATTCGGATAATTGAAAAAAATACAGGTATTGTCATGCTTGTTCTTTTAGATTCATCATTTCAATCGCCTAATAATATCTTCCTTGCTTCGATTTGCTTTCATGTTAAGAAACAGCCTCCAATGAAACATTTTTGGCACAATTTTTAGTGTATAAATGCTAGTATTTATTAGAGCCTCCCATAATTTTCATGCAAATCAATAAGCAAGCATCCTCATTAGATAACGAGCATTCCAAGAAAATTGCGCAGATTTGTGTCTACAGTTTTAGTCTTATTATCAAATTATATTAAGGTCAATCGAAGCGTACACGCACTGCTAGTTTTTTTGGAAGACAGCTGAGGTGGTCTTCGTAACCCCCAGTATTTTCTGACGTGTCTTCGAATGTGATACCACGTTGCATCATTCGAACGATGATCGTTTTCAACTCGAGCCAAGCTAATTCTTGTCCAATACATGCTCGATGTCCACCACCGAATGGAATCATAGCTAATGAATGATGATTTTCATCTTCGCCTAAAAATCTTTCTGGTACAAATTGTCGAGGATCAGCATGATGCCAATAGCGAGCATCAGTATTGATGTTATTCAAAGCAATAAAAACAGTCTGACCACGATGAATCTTTACAGCGTCAACGATGGTGTCACAAGTAGCTATACGGACTGAAAATCCAGCGACAGGAGCCAAACGTAAGACCTAGATACAGAGAAGAATCTTAAAAAATAATCTAATATTTCAAAACGAAATCAACCTCTTTTGTCACACATTCACAATAGGTTAGTGAAGTTAAATTCTCTGACGTTAGCTCTGGTACATATTTGAGATCATCTGTCATCAGAAGATGATGTTTGCGCAATTCTTCTTTCATTTTTTGTTGCACTTGAGGATTTTTACTTGCAAAAAATATGAACCATGATAGAGCAGTTGATGTCGTTTCATATCCAGCTAGGATCATTATCAAAACTTCATCAAAGATCTCTGCATGTGTTAGACCAGATGAAACTTGATCGTCATTAGCTTGTTCATTCAATGATGAAACCAACGACGCAATGAGATTCTTCGGTCGTTTATTTTCCATTTCACTTTCTTTGTTTTGTTCTTCTTCAACTAGCTTTTCTGACAATTCATGAATCAATCGATAGGCATGTTGATATTTCCAATTATATTTCAAATAGATTTTCCCTAACCATCGAGGCAGCCACGGTGAGAGGAGTATAGACACGCTATAGAATATAAAATCACGAAAAGCTTTTTTTATTGGTGAATTAATATGGGCATCGAAATCGTGATCGAATCCAATGAATCCGATAACATTCATGGTAAATGATTGACAGGATGAGACTAAATCTCGATGAACTTGACCAGGATGAAGATTTTGATCAATGAAATGATCAGCACATTGAACAATCGTCTCTAAATGACCAATAATCTTTGCTCGTTTCAACATCGGTAATAAAACTCGTATATGTCGTTTCCATTTAGCACCAGTCAACATTACAATGGCATTCGGACAAAGAAGGTCAAAGTTTGGAAAAGATAATGGCGCTTGTTCGAAAGTATGACGATCGGCAAATATGATTTGTGCATGTTCTACTCCACAGAAAACGAAACATCGATGTGAACCAAACCAAAATTGGAATTTGTCACCGAAACGACGTTGATAATCGAGAAAGACTTGATGAAATGATAATTTTCCCGTCAATATACCAGAATTAAGGAGATTACCAAAAACAATATGTGGTTTCACTCCTGGTAGATCATCTGGTGAAGGAGAGTAAGCACGTTTTAAATAGATATATATCAGAGTAATAACGATTACAAAGAGAGCGGCGATTACAATTGATACCATGGCGAAATATTTGTCGTAAGTAATACGTAGGTCAACAAGTATCGTTAAAAAAGGTGCATGTCTTGTTTTGCTTTGCTTTAGACTTATTTTAATTTAGTAGATACGTGGAAGATAAGAGAAAACAGAAAAAAAAATAAAGAACGAGAAATGATCATATTGGGGTGCTTTGAGAAACAACGAAAGATGTCACTCGTATGTCGTTTTCTCTTGTGTTTAAATAAATACTTTCTTAGCAATCGACTTTTTCAAACGAATCTAATCAAAATAAATGTCGAGTAGGAAATTAATGTCAAGGAATATATGGTCGGACTCTAATGCGAGACTAGCTTGAACAATAATGATTGAATGTGTCCTTACTCTATTAGTTCATAGAAAAACACGGTAATCTACAGATTTCATAGACTCATCATCGATAAAACAAGTAATAATCTGTCTTATAAAACATAGTGCAATTAATCTTAGGCCTATTTCTACTAGGATCTATGCGAACACGCAATCCATCAGCAAATATCAAGTATAAGAGTTCTCTCTCATTCCCTCACTGTGTAAATCAATAGGTTACTTCTACGATCTATGATTCCTGTGGATCGGAAAAGTTTTATCAAAATAGAGTATAAAAAAAACACAGTAATCAATGAAGAGAAGAAAAGTTGTTAACAGTATAATGATGAAATTAGAATTCCACAAAAAAGAGGCATCTTTTACTAAGTAGTTGAGAAACATCAGAAAATCATTCTAATTTGATGACTTCAAGCAAGCCACTTATTTACAAGTTTTATTAGTGCCCTATTCGGTTTGGTTACACTGGAAAAGTCTCTACTTCGAGTATGATGGACTACTGTACTATTTATTCGGTAGACGTTCATGGAAAGTACCATATATTTACCAAAACGAATCATCTATTGATTTGTTAGATTGTGACTATACACTAACATACATCGTCGGTTGTATCGATAACACATGTATTCTTGTTGGGCATAGTTTAATAATCGAATGTAGCTTACACAATCGGGGCATACTTGTTTATATGTTACTTTTGCCAAATGAAGCGCATTGCCTAAATAGGAATCTTTGGCGCGAAGACATGAAAGTTCAAGAAGAACTGAAGTGATTACAAAAATATGGTGATAAGTTGTCGATTATAGCGAAAAAAGTAAATTGATGCATTGTTTAGTAAATATATCTTTGCTTTTACGCAGGTGACACAAAATAAACATCAGTGTCACGACTTAGTTTTATAAAGCGCATTCAGTTCAAACTTAGCACACTATGTATTTTTTAGTTTATTTATATATCATTTGATAGAGATTCGTAAAGTGATTAAGAATAACCGGTTTTTCAACTTTATTAGTGCAAGTTTTCATCGAAAACGATTCAAATAATTTCAAGAGTCTAGGTTTTTTTTTCTAACAAGCGACAACTCTCTTTTAAACGGGATAAATCAAGAGGAGTCCACCACAACTGATTACGAACTTTCAGCTTCATCGTTTGACTCAACATAAGTTTTAGGAAGACTAAGCAAATTCTATTCACATTCTTGCTAATGGCTCTTCATTACCGAGGTATTATCTAAATAATATCTTTAAAAAAGAGATATTTTCTTTTCATTCTTGAAATTTATATCTTGTACGTTATTTGCTAACAATTAGTATATTAAATTAGAATTGTATAAGATTTCGTGACTTTTGATATCAGAGAGTAAAGAATGACAAATACAAAAAAAATAGAAACGAATGAAAGCTGATACTTTTCGAGCACATCTATGTCATGCCCATATCCGAGGAGAATACTTGGCGCATAAAATATATTGTATACTTTAAATGTTCTTCTTCGAAATGGACATGGCGCACATATGATGAAAAAAGATCGACCATCATTCATTCTTCTCTTTTGTATTTGTCATTCTTTTCCAGTGATATCATAAGTCACAAAATCTTATACAATTATAATTTAATATACCGATTATTAGAAAAACGATGAATTTAAAGTTACTGCAGCAAATAAGCTGTCATTCGAGCTGACTATATAAATAGTAACCTATGCCTATTTTGATTGCGCCAAAAAGACAAATTTTGAAAATGAGAAAAAATGTCCTCTGTACCATATTATTTAGATCATATGTCGACGATGAAGAGCCATAAGCAAAAACGCTTCCAGAATTTTCTTAGACTTACAAAGCCCTACATGAAGGCAAAAGAGGAAACCGAAAGCTCGAAATCAACTGAGCTGGTTCCTCCGTAAGTTTCGAGATGAGGTAATGGTGAACAAATGAACGATGATATTCATTATTTGCACTGTTCTCCATTCTTTGCTTCCAGTCCTATTTTCTCTTTGCGTAGATTTATTGTCTTGAAGTTTATTTTTCTCGTACGGATCATAAGAAAACATGCAATACAAACTGAACTATATTATACTTACTAAAGCGGCAGAAATTTAAACGAAGCTAATGTTTAAAATTTTATTGTGTTATAATATTTTTATACATTTGCGCATTTTTGATCTCTTCGTAACACAAAACAATGAAATTGTTTTACTGAGAGTAATTTGAGTATTCATGTTTTTTTTTCTTATGAAATCTGTATGAGATCAACAAATTCAGATCAATAATCGTCGCTAATGAAAAGTATAAGTTTCTGACAATATTCTACTCAAAGATGACTAAAAGATTTATATAAGATGAAATCAATGTTAATCTCGACTTCAAGAAATTAACATCGTGGATGCTCGAAAAATAAAGAATAGATAATTCCATCGATCATGTGAATAAATGATTGAGTTTTTGGCTTCACTCTTGTTTTTGTTCTCCAATGATTGATATAATTATAAATAGTGATTTAAGAACGAACATTTAAAATGAAAATCTCTTCGTTAACTTCACTACGTATTCTATTATTCAAATAAATACTTCAACAAGAACAAACAGCTGACTTTCTGATTAAATAATTGTTTCCTAACACAGAAAATCAATGTACCAATGTTACATTCAATTGTATGCGATACCCTCTTCCAAAGTATTACAAGTGATAAGAATGATAAGGATGTTCAAAATTAATATCATTATTTTAATACTATCCACTATAGTAACAGCTGCACAATGACAACAATGAAAATGTTGACGAACCTTTTAAAAAAAGAAAAAAAGAAAAGGATTTGATTTAAAATGTTGTATAACTTCCATTGGCTTTGATCACAAAACTATTAAAAAAAAGATGTCCACTCAAGTGGATAAATCATCGAATTCAAGAAGATGAAAAATTTTATTTTTCTGACGAAGTAGTAACTCGACAACAACATTAAAATCTAGTGCAATGTATCGTCCGCGTATAAACTAATTTTAAAGCAAAAATCTGCTCATGGAACATATCACAATAATATATTGTCTTTGCTTTTATCTAGCCTTCTTGTTTTTATTGCACGCATGACATCTATGTTTAAATCTATGTTTGTTTTTATACACTATTGTTTTAGTAAAATAAACATCAAGGAACAAAAACAGTATTGTAAACACTCGATTCTTGTCCCTCAGTATAAAGTAAGCATTACAAAACGTTCATCAGGATGTCATTTTTTTTGCCAAATCTATATTGAAATATTAACAAACTAATTTTTAATTTAATGCTAAAATTATACAATTCTTGATACTCATAAAAGAGTACTTGTACGGAATCGTTCTTTTATCTAAGTCTCTCATTTATCAAGGTATTATGATAGAGAAGATACACTAAGACAAAAATACAGCTATGAGAATATCATAAATCAACATAAACGAAGAGGTTTTTTTCATATCAACTTTCATAGACTACTGCAAATATCAGCATCGGTTTGATAGAAGAAGCAATTTGATAGAACCGAGAAGTTGATATCTAAAAAACATAGACTAACATCGTATACAACGTGACTAGAAGTCATTCATAATTTTTTTCAAGATGTTAAATATAGACACATTTGCAGATGAATTAAGATAATCGTCTACATTCACACCCACAACTAAATTAGAAAGTATTCGAATTGTGTTATGCATAATATTGTGATTTCTATTTTGTATGCATATATTATTTATTCAGACAAAAAAAAAGAACGACTTACAATTGTTTAAGGTCAAGCAAAAAACTAGTTAGGTACAAGTTTTGAATTATTAGCGAGGGAACCTCTTCAACTGTTCTTGTCCGATTTCGATGTTTTTTTTGTATATAGATACTACATAATGTTCTAATAAAAAATTCTAAAACGATTTGCGTTCCTATTCATATCTGAGTAAACTATAGAATCTCTAATGTCGATTTTCTAGAGGCACCAACTTTTCAGAAAACTCGTATTTTCGAATTTTTATCTGAAACTTTGTGAATATAAAGAACTCAATAGGACTAGCTTTCCTTGACAAAAATTCACAAGTTTTGAACAATGTCTCTTCAAGATATGAAGCTTTCAAAAACTGCATGTTGTATACACGCTATCCATGGAAAAGCATCTATATCTTGAAAATCTCATATTTTGCAGAGATTTTGTTCAAAACTGCTACATTTTTTTTATATAAGCTAATCTAGTTGATTTCTCTATATATCCAAAGTTTCAGATAAAAATTCGAAAATATGAGTATTCTGAAAACCTGGCGTTCTACAGGAATCTCTAAAAAAAATCGATAGCTTAGTCAAACAGCAATAGGATTTGTTTTAGAATACTATGTAGTATATATAGGCAAAAAAAAGTCATTACAATTGGAAGGGGAGGGAGGGTAACTGAAGAGGTCACCTCCTTAGTAAAAGAAAAAAAACAAAAATGCAAATCACCAAAAACTGGATATTTTCGATCAAATCATCACTTTTTTACTGAGTAACCCGTAGAAATATAATTTAAAATTCATCAATATATTCCACATAAATTTAAATTTTTAATACGACTGATCGATAGCAAAAATTCTTCTCTTTTGATCGATGCAAGACCATCATTCCTATTTTGTTTTGTTCGAGAGTTATAAGACTTTTCCTGAGACTCCAATTTCAGCCAATTGACCTAGAATTATCCGAAAAAGCAGCTAATATGAAGTAATTCACCATGTTGAGTCAAATGATCATATTTGCTTTTAGGTTCGAAATCATCCGACTCGGTTACCTCAATATTTCTGAAGTATTACAATCTGCCTCTATATAACGAATAAGTCGACGTTTCAAAAACTTTGAGATAACAGCGTCAGCTCAGTTTGAACCTAAAACCAAATATAATCATTTGACTCAGCATCATGAACTATCTCACACTAACTGCTTTTTCGGATCATTCCAGGTCAATTGACTGAAATCAAGGTTTCACACGATTAATCGCATTAAAAATTTAGATAGAAAGCGAAATATCTTCAGAATATCGTTTTCAAAAATCTCCACCAACAACTCACCTGATTGGTCAATTATTGATCGATCAAATTTCGATATACTTCGATGGTCTCAGGTTTTGTCTTTTGAATGTTGAAAATCGTAGATCTCTATGCTGTTTCTATCAAAAGTTATTCAAAAAAATAGCGAAGTATATTATATTTTGAAATCGATAATTATTAGATTTTCTTTTCCTTTTCATAATTGATTTTTAGTTAATATTGAGAATCTACTAATCTATTATGTTGACATGCTCTCAAAAAATTTATTTAATTACTGAATCTATTGTGATAGTATTATGCTTATTTATTAATATATACACTCAACGAATTCTTTGTTTTACAATCTCAATAAAAAATACATATATAAAAGTTATCAACATTTGATCTTTACGGCGAACTTTTGCGTTTGAACTTCGAAAGAACTTTACGAAGACCAGACCTAAAAAAGTCCAAATGAATACATAGTTTAATCAGAAATACATAGACAATATTGTGTGTCAAATTATACTTTGGTGCTTTGATCGATTGTACAGCCATAGGTTCCTATCAAATAATAATTTATTTTGAATCATCATTAATATAAAACGAATAATTAATAAGAACATACATGCTGAGTCGAAGATCGATTTGATACTTCGGATTGTGTGTCAACTAAAAGAGCTTGCTATTTATATCAAAAAGTATATCAATTGTTTCTATCATACTTGTTGACGTTGGATTTCGTGTTTGTTCATTTCTTCTTGCCATATTCTCATAAAAATTTTCTTGAGTCTGTGAATATGGAAGTGGTACAGGTTTTAAATAATTGAAAGTTCCATCTATCAAAAAGAAGAATGCTATAATAATCAAATCGAAGGTTAAATTTCAACGTACAACTCTCTGTTGATGGTTGTTGTGAAGGAACCTGAGACATATTATATAGGTAAGTCGACCTTTTATCACAAGTGTTCTTCAAATAAAATTAATAATGAATAATAAAAATGTTGTTAGCCTTTTAAAATTACCTGATGAATATGAAACATATTTAAGGGAATCATATTTTCACAATTTGGACATGATGTTATTTCTAAAGGTGGTAGTTTAGCAGCAGCTCTAAATATAGAGATAGAATATAAATACACAAAATGTAATCATACATACTTCGCAAACGATTTAACCAGACGTCGTACACTGCACACTTCCTACGTAGTTATGAAATGAAGGAAAGGAATTGACTTCTTATTACATAAGAAAATAGAACATACTGTATGTCTATCGATATCATCGATATTTATCGATTGTATACAGTATTCACACGGCGTATAATATTCACATAATGACTTATTTGCATCAGTTGAATCTGAGAATCGATTTTCTCTTGAAGAATTGTCTAAATTACGGTAAAAACCAACACTCGTTGATCTCTCACAGGCACTGTTCTAAGTAAAATGAAATATAAGATCAATCTCGATTGTCTAAGTAAAATAATTTACTTTAGAAAATGACTCAGAATTATAGTATTGATAACCAGTTCTTTCTGGAAGATTATTCGTTGGTAAACTGCAAAGAAAAAGAATCAACGATCCATTTAGTCAATCTTTTTCAAAACTCATACATTTTTTTCGTTACTTTTTGAGAAGTATCATTGACCTACAAAGAGATTTTTCTCATAAAACATTTTACGTTTTATCTCTTACTTGTACGAAAGATATTTTATTAAAAGACTCTCGTTTATTTTGAAATCGTAATCTGAGTAAATCTTCTTGAATAGCTTTGAAATTAGGTCTTTTATTCGATTCTTGTTGTGTACAATTTTCAATAATATTCCACAGTTCATTAGAACACATACATGGTCGTTCAAGTAATTTTCCTTTTAATCTTTGCTGATACACATTATCAGTTGTTTTTAAATCTCCATAAGGAATTGCACCTCCTGAACATGTCTCCCACATAAGAACACCAAAAGAATAAACATCTGACTTTTCCGAATAACAAGCCGAAGATATGTCATAGAGTATTTCAGGTGCAGCATAACGAACTGGAATCATTGTCATTGTAGATGATGTTGATGACTCAAATACTGAGAAAAGTGGACTAGCTCGAGTAAGTCCAAAATCAGTTAGTTTAACTAATATTTCTGTAGATTGATTAGAACTCGATCGAAAAACAAGTACATTACGACATGCTAGATCACCGTGAACTATTTGATTATCAGCTAAACAAATCATAGCATCAACAATTTGCCAAAAAATTTCAAGCAAAACTTCAAAAGTCGGCTGAAAATTATCACTGCGTAATAATTGCCTAAGATCACCTTCAGGTGCATATTCTTGAACCAACATAATACTATTTGGTAAATCATTATCAACTAATCCATAAGTTCGAACAATATGTGGATGACAACTAAGTTGTACATAAAAGCTAGCTTCACATTTTGCTCTAGCTCCATCGATTTTAATTAGTACGATAGGTGGTCCATGTTTTAACATCCATTTTGCTTCATAAATTGTTTTACTCGGGCTTTGAAACATTGGTCGTTGTTTAGTTTTACATACATCAATATCAAGACGAAAATGATAATTTTTTTGTGATGACAATGATAAAAATTCGTCGACCATCTTTTTTACAATATAATTTGGCCTTAATGAATTTAAAGCCATCGATTCACGTGTGATTGGACTTGCAGCATGTTTTTGAATCCATGCTGTAATATTTTTTCGTTCATATGTATGACCATCAGAACCAATAACAGGATCACGAAATAATTCATGAGTAATTGGACATTTTAATGAATCGAGTAACGTCGGCGAGTTTGCTTCCGTTTGCATTTTTATGCATATTCAAATAAAACGAAATTAATCTCAAACATGCGTAAGACGATTATCGTTCTGTATTAGACGACAGAAAAACAAAAATACTATAGGAAGAGAAAATATATGTCGCAGTGATTCATTCATTTAGTTTCAATAAAAATTTTCTTTCAATGAAGTCATTCATTGGTAGATGTCGTAAATAATGACTCTAAAATATGTCGGAATCAAAGCCTTCTGAGTATCTAAAATTCATGAGCAGTGAAATATTAATTTATTGAATGATTTTTCAAATTCAAAAGAAATAGTAATTCACAATCATTTTCATCAAAGTTAAGTAGCATTTATGTTATTTTCTTTAAGATCTTGGATTTTGAAATATTCTAACTTAATCCTAGTACTACAAATAGCCTATTTCTGGTGTCGGTATCAATCTACTCTTCCACACCCACACCCTTTTTAATAATCGAGTTTAAATTTAAAGTTGTGAAAGACACTAAATATTTTTCGAAACTGAAAAATACCAAGATATTTTCGTTAAATTTATTTTTGCTACATTGGGATCAAAAATGATCCCAGTTAGTTGTACTAGGATTAGAGCAAACTAAATATTGACCAAAGGGAACTATAAGCTTTTCGATGATTTTCGACTACAGAAAGAAATCTTTGTAGGCTTCTCGAGAAAGACTTCCTCTGCGTAATAATATATGTATTATCAAATTTAGAAGTGGCACTTTCTCTTTAGGTTAACAGATAAAGTAAAACGTAACGGGGTGGTCCAAAAAAAACTTACCCCATTTTTTCAATATTGTTTCTACACCTTTAGTATTCAGTTTTTAATCCAATTCTATTTGCAATAGATAGAGCTAGAAAAAAGACACTAAGTAGACACATAGTTTTATTTGGGAAACGTTTCGCTATAGGTGTAGATGAAAAAGAGATTCACCAAATATGAAATTTATGCAGGGATGGTATACCTTTATCGAAAATCAAAAATGATCTACGACTAACATTTACATTTGGATTGAAGTTCGATATACTTATGAGGCTGTTAATTATGAACTTATTACAGACAAAGAATTTAGTTAAAAAAGATTTACTTTTTAAAAGAATTTTTCGTTTTTATAGAATTACTCGTATTTGATGCTGAGTCTTGTCTCATGCTATTGTTTACACTGACATTTATTTCTCATTATAAAACTCCAATTTATCAATAATTTACACATCGTTGTAGCAACTGAAAAGTTCTATGTAGCTTAGGATTGATCATAATTGAGACTAATCTGAGTGATGCAATAAAATAATAAAATAGTACAGGGCTTCATCTTATGAAAAAAATACGAAAGACTGCTCTCATATATAGACCTATTATAGTTTGCGATCAAAGAACTGAACTGATGTCAATCATCTAGTTCTTTTCAAAAGAACTGGATATAGTAATCAACTCTTTTTTGACAATTGAAGCAACTACTGAGTAGAATCGCTAGATCACCATTATTGACAGAACAGGTACTTTTAAAAAAAGCGGTTACTAAACCCAGCTCTCGAAAAAACGAACTAGCCACTGGACCAGTCCTCGAAAAAGAACCAGTTCTTAGAACTGTGAGCTGTCACAGGTCTAGTCATATGAAAATTTTAACAGTATTAGAAAACTACCAATAATCTGAAAAAAATGATCTCAACTTTAACTGCAACGCTGAAAAATTTGTCGTGAAAATTCCAGGTACTAATACTGTTTTGTTATTGAATTACTGAATTTTTACAAAAAAAACCGAAAAGTTGCAAAGGTGATTTTGTTCCAGGACAGATTTTATGTTCAATGAATTTTCTTTCTATCTACAGTTAGAGCAAAGCGTTTTCAAAATAAAAATACTTGTTTTTAGCTCTATCCATTGCGAAATGAATTGAATTAAACATAGAATACTAAACATGTAGAAATAATATTGTAAAAATGGGTAAGTGTTTTTTGACCACCCTGCATATACTTTGCTTTACTACTCACGTGAGCAAAGGACGGATAAAGATACTAGTGATTATTCTAGTCGTGATAGTACGTCTTGTCTAATCTTTTTGTCAAAAGATCCTACCATATGACTAGTCCGAAATCATTTGTAGTCCACAACTAACGTCCTGGTTGCTTAACTGACGACTGTTATCCTGTTTGTTATGTCTAGTTTCTTTTAGAAAAAGACTATGTGTGTTGTGCTGCTACGACGCTCGTTGAAAACCTATTTTAAATCGAAAAAGGAAGTGCGTCCACGATGCTGCATACGACAAGGTGTAGTCTTATATAGTCGTCGAGTCCGAGCTAGTCTGAATTGAAGTATATAATGAGAATGTGGTTGCAGGTATGAGTATTCATTTCACCCATAACCACACCTAAATCACTTTGACGCCTTAATGATACGAATAATGACTGGAAGTGATTAAAAATTATCGAAAACCATTAGAAATCATGAGAAATCATTAGAAATTAATGAAAATCATTCTAAATTATAGAACATATTCAGTAATAAAATTAAAAATAGAGCCCTGATTTCTATTGATTTTCTTAGTTTTCAATAATTGCTAATGGTTCTAGTGGTTACTCTGTATTTCTAATGATTACTCGTGATTTTTCTTCGTTTCTAAGCATTTTCAATAATTCCTATTGATTCATGATGAATAGATAAAAACTAATTTCCAGTAATAGGAATCGCTAGAAATCACCAGAAATCAGAGAAATAATTAAAAATCAAGAGATCAGTTTGTTTCCCCTGTTTTCGATAGAAATTGAAACTTTAGAGACACTTTTACTAATAAAAGTTCAGTTCGTTTCACCTAATTTGAACAAAGTTTCGATGACATCAATGTTTCTAGGAGAGAAAAAAGCAAAAGACGGTTTTAAAACAATTTTTTTATTAATTACCAAGATCATTTCTTGCTTAGAAACTTGGTGGTTGTTTATTTAATTTATGTGGTGAAACACATTCAAGTAAACTAACAGGTATACAACGATAAACGAATGAGATCCATACAAGCATTAACATTTGTGTCATTTAATCTTTGATAATAATTCTTAAGTGCATAAATATCACCAACATGACATAATGTAATTGAATTTGATAACTTTGCACATTCATCAATATAATTTCAATCAGCAATTTTTGAACAACGCATTTCTTCTTATTGATCATGTGAAAATTAAATAAATTAGCGACATAATTTTCATCAGTCAATATTTCCGTACATAATTTAGTTGCTATTGAAAATGTTGCAAGACATGATTTTGATCGACACACATGTTCCAAATTAATTGTTCGTCATGTTGACGTACAACCGGAACTCTTTTATTATAGAAACAAATCAATTGAACATGCACAATTAATATTAATAAAATTATAAACAAAATTTTCTTTAAACATTTGAACTATTCATGCCGATGTATCAACAAATGAACCACAAATTTTTGTATACCAAATATAGTTTGCGATGAATGACGACGTAAAAGTACAAATTCAGGTAATTATCCGTGAAATAACGATGTTGTCATTACCAATTCATCAACCATTTCATTTATCACGCACATTCTGATATTAAAAACGGCGAACGATAGACGTGAATTTCTTATCAAAATCGGCCCGTACTGAAAACTATAAGAAAATCCCAATTCATTACAGATGATTACAAAAGTAAATAATTTCATTAACTAATTGTATAATAATTTTCTTCAGAATACTATGTTTTCTATTGATTTGACCATGCACATATGGCCAAGGTATATTATATATATAAAGTATATTATCATCAGTATTTTTCAAAAGCGACATTTTCCAGTAAAAACCAATTATCTCAGGAAAGATAGAAGTTATAACAAAAGTTTTTTAACTATAACTATTATCGATGGTAGACTATCGTTTCATGGTATTGACATTGTGTTGTTACTTGACAATATCTGACGATGGCATATAATAGACTGTTTGATTTCAATCTGAATTTAGACCAAAAGAAACACTCAATTTCAAATAGAAATGGGAAATTGGAGGATTTCAGAATTATTCATTCATATATATATCAGTGACGTAGCCAGGATTTTTTAAGTCATGAGTTGTTTCCAAGGCAAATTATTTCGAGGAGTGGGTAGCAAGAAGCAATTAAGAATCAATCAGGCTATTATATTTTAAAACTTATTGCCATCACAAAAAACTGATGTTCATTAAAGAAAAGTTTGTTACTCTCAACTTAGAGGCGAGCCCGTTTACTATTTTTGTACTATGTCACAAATGTACTCCTCAACTTTCAAATATTTGAATATACAGAATGGACTAAAAGTCATCGGGCAGTCTTTTACTTCGAATAACTTTTGACAGGATCAAGATAAAAAAAACTGCAGCTTTCACAATTCAAAAGAGGGTCTGCTACTACATAGTTTCATATACTATTTAACAGTGCTGCATGTTACCATGGTAATCAGTCAGTGGTCTTCGATAAAATACTGGGAGCTCTATAAAAATTACACTGAAGATCAATTCTAATGTGTACGTTAGAATCGTATATCTATGAATCACACTCATCATTGTTGCTATCTAGTGTTGCATCTAAAACTCTTTATCGGAAGAATATAATAGGTTCGGTTGTTGGCATTAGCGTGAATCGTGAGTACACGAATCGAAACTGTTTCGTTGAATTAAACTTCTATGTCTTTTTCATAGAGTTATCAAAATCTTGCTAAGGATCACTAGCTGACTATTAGGTCAACAATCTGTATTGTTGAATAATACATAGAACTTCGTACTAACAGATCCCGTTTCGCATAGTGAAAGTCGCAGCTTTTTATCTTGATCTTATCAAAAGTTATTCGAAATTAAAGACTGCTCGGTGACTTTTGGCTCACCATGTATTATGTCAAAAAGCATAAGTAAGTACAAATAGAACCATTAGCGAGTTTAAGAAGAATCACGAGTATTTTGACAAAAAAAATTCATTGAATTGTCATCATTATGATCATTGGTTTCGTAGAAGACATAGTCAATTGATCT